ACAACGAAAGAAGCTCCTTGTTTTTTAACAAATTCTTCTCGTCCGCACCTTAGGAAATGTAGAGAGAATATTAAGGAGATTATGCATACTGATGTCAGGGTGTTAAGGGGTAATCTGTATGATTGCAGGTACAATTTACCAGGAAGTAATTTCCTACAATAACACGAACGACATTCCAAAGGCTGTGGAAGGAAATGGAGAGATAAACGCGTCATCATCCAGTTCGAGTATTTCATCAGGTAATGTTATCTTTATTCATTGGGATATTTTAATGTGATATTACTTCACAGAAATGTGCGTAAAATTCGTGGAGTTTTTTAGTTATTCTGGTGGCCTTTTCTATGCGTTCAGTTTGTAAAATGAACAGCAATGGTACTGAAGCGGGGCCGTTGTAGCGGAGGTGTGAAAAACGAGGGACGTTTGGGTCTTTGTTATAAGACTTAAGTGACACAAATGGAACGTTTTGCTTTTTGCGGCCATGATCAAAAATTGTCTGGTAATGTTTGTTATCAAAAATGACGTGATGTTTGTTTTGTTGGTAAAACACTTAAAATCTAGTTCACTTTAAAACGAGCTGAGTTTTGAATTTTGAACTTAAAGTCTGAAGTAGAACCTGTCTTTGAGATGGCTCCGCTAAATATATATGCTGAAGCCCATCGGAAGATAGGCTAGCTTATTAAACAATAAACTAAGATTAAAAATGTAACTAATTGTTTTTCTTTTTTTGGTAAGAAGTAACTCAAAGAGTCATAAACACATTTGACACAGTTTCCTAAGTCACATAAAGCCATAACTCCTTAAAATCAGTGACACGAAATACATTAGATCATTCTTACTCGGCAGTTTTGACGTCAGTCGAAAACCAATTAGGCGGAGATATCATCTAAGAAATCACGTGACGCCGTAGCTCTATCGTTTGCTAAAAACTTTTGTGAAAAAAATACCGTCAAAACTGTCGTGACATTTTGTCAAAATCTTTTAAGAGTGGCAACGGTACATTGTGCTTCACTGTCAAACTTGTAATCGTAAATTTTTAGGAATAGATAGTTCCAAAAAGAAAGCGAAACGTAAAAAACGGGAGGTACAGACTGGAGGTGGAACTTTAGGCTCAAGGTTAGTGAATAAAAATGAGTGGTAACAAATGATAACTTCAAATAAACTTACTCTCGTACCGTTGGCACTTGGTATGTAAAGTATGACTTGTATTTAAATATCAGCACAGCTAAAGAACGGACTTAACAATACCATAATTTTTTCCCTTTAATTAACGCAATGGAAGCTTATAAATCTAAATGCTTTAGAAATCACTGCGGCAATCAGGTAACTAAAAGTGAACTAAAGATGAAAATTTTCAGTTCATGACCCAGCGTTTAGTCGGAATTGCGTGAAAATTGCTTGTCCGGGCCCCTGTTTTCACAACAGAGGCCTATCCTTTGAGCTTCTGGTCAGTTCTTCAAATGCTCTGCCACTTAGCCATGGGACACTTGGGTAGTTAGTCAACTGAACTTTCATTATATCACGACAAACATTCCGCTTTCCACCAGAATTTGACTGCATAAAAGCTTAGAAGGAAAAAAAAATCCATTTACTTAGTGCACTGACTTGCAGCTGTTTTGAAGGAATGTGGCTTAAAATAATGCAATCAATAGCTAGTCCATCAAAAGCGAGCATGGAACGCCGAACAGCTTTGTAGTAACACGGACAGTGAATGGTGCAGCTTCGTAATGGCTGTTGTTTCATTGTGGTTTTGTAATAATTTTACAGTACACAAGGCCGTCATTTGTTCACTTAATAAATCTCTACAACTAGTTTATGACCAGGCTCGTATTATTGACACTGCAGGACTCACGTTTCTTTTCCCGTGGGAACTGATTTCTGAGACGGGGAGAGTTTTGCCGGAAGTCTGGCACTAATAATAAGTTTATCAGTGCTCGACACCTTGCATATCCTCCCTTTCCCCCCCCCGGTTCGCGTTTCTTAAGGCCTCGTACATTCCCGCGGGCGGAGAAACGTCCATGCTGAAGCGCTGATAATGAGGGGCTGCTTGGGACTACGGTTTTTCTACCCTCCCCCTCCCCCCTCGCTTTGTGACTCGTCCCAGATCTTTCACCTGTCTAATATGGCTTCCGAATATTCGCCGCGTTGAGTCTCGCGCCTGCAAGCATGCTAGAGACTACTTTGTATCTATGAAAATTTGATTCCTTTTTTTTCTGTCGCCATTTTCCCTAGAATCAGACAGATGATAAAAGGAGATGAATACTAAACCCGAACGGTGGATGAATTAGACATTCTACTGACAATGCCGGAGCTAGAAAATGTTGGATGGTGTGGGTGCGTTGTTGCCATTGACAACGTGACTTAGAAACACAAGTGAACAATTTGTGTAGCTCTATAAAGTTTTGAAAAAAAGATTCATGTTCATGTACACTTAATGTTCTGCGTGAGAATTCTAAGAGGACCAATAACATTTATTTTGACTGGTAAGACCAGTTTGATTGTGAATCCCGAATCCCGAAGGGCAGGGTCCGTTTTAAGGGAGATGTGTACTTCTTGATGAGAGAAGTGATTCCACCAAAGAGGGAAGGCCAAGCGATGAAAACAGAATAGAAATACTGATGATATTATACAGGAGTAAATATTGGTTATATCTTAGGGCAGTACTTGTAATTTAGTCATCCAAAAAGTTTCATAAGTACGTATATTTGAGTTCGTTAGAGATAGCTTTATTTCGTGCTAGGTAAGGAAATAGCTGATTGTGTTAGCGTACATTATTGAAGAAAACCTTCAGTGCTTTAGCTGTTGTTTTTAAATTTTGAATCTCTTCACATTGTTCAATTTAAATCACCGTTTAATTCGCTTTCTGTCATCAAAAAGTTTCTTCATGAAAATCTCGAGCGATATAATAGCATAGTGAGGTAAATGTATCACACTCCAGGCGAAAGAAGATCTTAGATGTTTGGATTCGTTTCCGCGTCGTCCGACACACTTTACTTTTGAATTGATGGTAACCTGTAAAGAAAAGTCTTTCAAGCCGGAGAAATACCTTAGAGGAATAAGAAAGGAAGATAACTTACCTGCGGTTCATTTTTCATTTATAAAAAGCATATGTTTTCGTTCTTTTCATATTGGAATTGATTTCATTGAGATTAGTTTTTAAAAATGGCGTGTTAACACAATGTAGTAGACAAGTGGCCAGCTTTAGTAGTGAAGGGGGGGGGGAGTGGAAAGTGTAGCAGGACAAACGGTTGTTAACTTCAGTTACCAGAAACAGAGGTGATGTTACGGTGGAAAAAGTCGCGGTAGGCTACAATAGTTCACTGAACAGTTAGATCCTGCGTCTTAACCTTTTGCACCTTGACATGGGTACCCATATTCTTCATACTGTTCTCTTATATTTCTTATGTTGCTGACTAGGAGAATTTGCTCATCGATCAAGGGCTTCAGTAGTTGGCGAAAGGTTTCCTTACTCTCATGACCTTTTTATTTGATTCAGGGTTTTACCGTAAGGAGGAATTAGAAGCCAGTGATTCTTAAAGGTTAAAGGGTCAAAGGTTGAGGCGAATGGCTCATATTGTGCCAAGGAAATTTTTATATCAGTGGATATGAGGCGAGAAACATAGCACGTCGGTAAATTACTAATGGGTTTGGTGTTAAGTCGTGTGCGAGGTTGAAACATTTTTTTTTATTATTCTGATAAAGCACTTGGCTGCTGTTAAAATAGAGGATAACTCCGTATAGATGGCCACTTGGAAACTACTCTGTCCACCTGCGCTTTATTGCGCGCATTTAGCAGCATTATACGTTTATATACTTAGTCAAGTAATTTCTTCTTAGCTTACAGAAGATTAAAGTTGTACGCATGGATTAATTTTGGTTGTGAGATAAGAATACTATTTCATTCTAATTGGCGTTCAAATTCTGTCAATAAACAGCGCATATTTAATAACACAAGTTGTGATGGTTAATGTTCCCTTCAAATCGTGACGGGGGGGGGCACTCATCAGCCACCGGCCAGACAGGCAGTGAGGGCTTTAGGAAGTTACCGAACTTGCGTGACGCGCGATTAGGGCGCGCGTGCTTTGAAACTTCGTAAGCAAGTTACGCGTACGATTTTCGCAGGTGCGAGTTAGTTTTTGAGTCTCACTTATCGAGGTTTTTTTCTGAGTTTACCGTGTTACTTTTTCACCGTTTTTCACTCCCAATAAACATGCCTGCTTTTCAAAGAGAATCCCGTTTCTACTTCCGAACAGAGGGGTAGTGCAGTGCATGTATTACCATGCAGTTTCATCTGGTGGTGGCAGTGGGAAGGGCACAGGAAGTTGGAGGCAGGTCTTACGTAGACGTCCGAGCAGTGTATGAATGCATTCCAATCTTGTTGCGCAACGAATTCGTAAGGCTATGGAATTATCCGAAAGGAGCACCCGAATGTTTTGGGTTGCGGTTTTGCAATTGCACTTGGGTGGAATTTCTTACGGCTGTGTAGAGAGCGACCAACCGACCAATCCGATTTTAGTAAATGTTTGATCAACCAGTCAGCAGAGCGCGCGAAGGAATGCAGACGAGGAAGTACGCAGAGTTTACTTTCTGAAAACAAGAGAACTTACGTACACAGGGAATTCACTCAGAAAGCAAATCAACATGGAATCCACTGAGGAACACTGAGGAAAACAAACGGAGTTTTCCGCAAGAAACCCCATGTTGAAATTAAAGTACGTAAAACTTGCGGAAGTAGGCGGACGACACTTAGGAACGAAATGGAGAACACATTAGGAACGAAAGGGAATTCACAAGGCAGCCTATTTTGGGAACGAAAAGAGAACGAAAGGAAAAATATTCGAGGATCGAAAACAACAACACGTACAACGCAGAATGGGTTTTGTCGAGGAACGGAACAGGGAACTCACAAACACTTCCAATGCTTTCTCTAAATTTTATTGCATTATAAATATAAAACTATTTGTCTTTGTCGAGTCGAGTAGCTAGATTTGTCTCGCTACGCATTTTAACCCCTACTCGATGAAGACAAAATCGATGAATTAATGTCGATAAAACTAATGATATAACGAGCACGCGCAGTTTTGTTTTTCTATTCTAGCCGAGAAGGCCGCCAAGTTCGATATCTACCATGCATAACGCCATTCTGATGCAGCTATAATTTGGATTAGAACTGAGTATAACTTCTATTCGTCTTCAATAAGAACAAGTTTGTTTGTATGTGTTACTGTATGTAATTTTTTTCCCTCTAAAACACCCACCTATACACTAACTAAAATAATCCTCAACTTTGGTAATAAATGTTTAAATACTGAGTTTTGTTATCCAATTGTGCTTCGTAGAGGACAAATAACGCTCAAAACGAGTACAACTATCTCGCGGTATTTGTTCTCCAGAGAACAGGTTAGACAGGTTTTCTCGCACCGCGCAAGCGACCAATTGGATTGAAGTTAGGAAAAAGAAAATAGCGGATAATTCTGTCACGCACTCCTCGTACATAAATATCCGCGAAATTCGCCCGCGCTGAAATAACAATTTGGCGTGATAAATAATAAATCTCTTATCACACGTTTTGTTGTGTAGTATCGCCGAGTACTTTTACTCGTTGTTTGTATTTTGACCCGTTCTGGGGGCTCGTCAAAATACGGCACAACTCGTAAAGTACTAAGCGATATTACACAACAAAACGTCTAATAAGATATCTATACTCGCGCTTCGAGAGATGGACAATAGATTAAAAAAATAATAAAAAATACGGATGAGACCTGAGCTCTATAACTACATCAACTTTATGTGTGCCGGCGAAGCATTACATTCATTAAGGTTAATTTACATACCCATTTATTTATCGTTTGCACTTCGCCCTTACCTAAACGATTTCTATCATGCTTGAACAAAAGATCTGTCATGCGCACTTGCAGGCACGGAAATAGAATGTAACATTCTACTTTGAAGTGAGCTATACATAACATGGTAACTGCCACTAATAATATAGTCATGCGTGGAGTTCTTATTAACTTTTAAATATAACAATTTGGCCTTACCACTTTTTCTGTGAACTACTATAGGAATAAGTTGAATTGACTAATCGCAACAATTTTTGACCAAGAAAGGTGCCAGGAAATTTACAAATTTTTGGCCAAATGACGATCAGCCAAACGCGATTTTGCAGTCAGAGTCTAAAGAAATGTTACGGTTTTTTATGTTTATCAATCATTTGTAATATTGAATATACAGCCATGCTTGATTTATGCATTCTGTTTAATTCAAGCTGAACAGGTGTGGCAGAGTGCAAGCAATGGCTTGGTTGACACTACGATGCAGGTGGAACTGAGAAGGTGAGAAAATAGCTTGAGTGTCTTGGTATTCACGCAAGGTACACGATGTTGACATGACAATATTTACGCCAAACGGCTCAGTCTTTTGGCCGTTTCACGGTTAACGGCTAATCCTACTTAAATCGTCTAGATTGCTATATGCTTGTGTGATATTAAAACAATACAAACAATTCTTCGTCCATGTCAATCACACAGCAGGATTGGAGGAGTAGAGCCACTGTAGAAGCAAAAAAGAAAAAAAAAATATTATTGAAGAGCCAACAGCCTCTTTTTAAACATAACACTTCTACGAACACAAACCCGGGGTTCTCATAGTCTGTGCGATGCGGATTACGTTGGCTACACCCGCTGAAACCTTTTCCAACGTATCTTTGAACACAAGTACTCCGCTACTATAAAACACCTGCGCGATGCCCACAATACGTAGAACAAAGATATACACGATCGATTTACCATCCTTATAGAATGTTGTAGGAAATCGCAATGCTTAATTTTACGAAATGCTCTTTATGCAAGAAAGGGAACCTGAAATGAACTCTCAATCTGACGCAATTAAAGGAAAACTATTTAGTTCTTAATTAACACTCTCTACGTTCCACACTGTAGAGTTTTAATCGCATGTTCGATAAGAGAAGGATAAGTTGTTCTCATGCACACAAAATTCCTTTTCTTGACAAAAGCTTCGCACTCGACTTCGTTTTAAAAAAGTTAGCTACCAGAGAAATTTGGCAAAAAAGCAAATAGATCAAAGTAAATAAAAAAATAGCCATATTCATATCCCGATTCATGTTAAAATACTGACCAAACCGCGATGTACAGCAGTCAAACGTCTGCATATGCGTGCTTTCAGGCTGTCAGAAAGAAGTTGTCTCACACGAATTACAAAAAAGACACACGTTTAATTGAACATTTTTGGCAAAGTTCAAAACTGAATAGTAAATCAACAGGAAAACTTTAGTTGAATAAGCTTTGTGTTCGAAAAGCTTCGGTTTTTTATTTTCCCCACTTTTGTTTCCTTTGACAGATTTCTAGGACCGTTCCTTTTTCCTTTGCTTATTTTGCGAGACAGCTGTTGTATTTAATGTTTCTTTGAAATTTTGCACGGGAAATTAGCGTACAGCTGGCCAGAATTTATCCCCTCGCGCATGCCCGACGTTTTACCAAACGAGCTTCTATTGGTGGAAAAAGTATACAAAACAAACTGGACGAAACAAAACAAGCTATAATAATAATAATAATAATAATAATAAATGTTAAAGAAAGGTGTTAACAAAATTAAATTCTTCATAAATTTGTGGTCCTCTTAGAGAGAGTGACGACCGTTTTCCCATAATAATTCTTAATTAAGAGTTCTTACTAGATATCTGTGACGACGCCTTCAATTTAAAACAGTGTTATTATGACGTAATTAAAATCTGCGGTCGCTCCTATGAGGAAATATCGCGGGAAAGGAAAAAAACGCTTAAGTCACACTACAGTTTATGATCATGCCATCTTTTGAACAACATGAAAATGAACGATGCACATTCAAGAATTTCCTGATACAACGCTGCTTGTAATATTCAGCTTTCTCTGCGAGGCAGACTTGTGTCGAGCCGCACAGACATGCAGGAGTTGGAGAGCTATTACTTACGACAGCTCTTTGTGGAGATGTGTAAATCTTAAGCGCTTCCACAAGCTTAACGAATTCAGCCTGATCAAGCTTATTCGAAGCCGCATGGTACCGATGCTATTCAAGATCAATCTTGGAGGTTTCACCCTGTCTCCAAGAGTTTTCCAAGTTCTGGCCATGTACTGCAAACAACTTAAAGTGTTATGTTTGGGATCTGTGTCCTTTGTAGAAGAATTCGCGGTCAGCAACGAATCATTTCCAGGGAACTTAACAAAGCTTGATATACGGCACAGTTCGGGACATCCAACTGCATTCAAAGTTATCATCCAGAGCGTGCAGAGAGTACAATGCCTGGGTCTCAGCGATTCTATTTTTGAAGTTATCAATACAGAAGGCGATAAACTAAGATTGTTCGCTTCTTTGAAGGAGGTTAGAATATTAGAGTTCAGTTACTGTAATTCACTGACAGATACAATAGTGCAGTATATTGCCGAGAATTGTAAGAAACTTCGATCACTTTGTCTACGGAGATGCCACAACATTCGAGGAGGAAATCTGTCGGAGTTAATCGGTTGCTGTTCATCGCTGACTTCGTTAGTGCTCGACGGTACGAGCGTCTCCGACAGTGAAGTTCAGGTGGTTTCTTGGGAGAATTCGAAGATAACCGAAGTAGATCTGTCGTGGTGTCGGCATCTGAGCAAAATTGGTCTTAAATCGATACTGACTCGTTGCCACTTGCTACGATTCGTACGCTTGTGCTGCTGTGGTTATGGTCATGCAATCACCGATGAGGTTCTTCACGCAATGACTGAGTGTCGATACCCTTCACTTCAAGTCTTAGATTTGAGCTACAGCAGCGAGGTCACAAACTGTGCCCTTGGACGGTTTGTAGCTAGCTGTTCTTCGTTGCAATATTTGAGGGTATACCACTGTCAGAAGATTACATCCACACTAGTGAACCTCATCCCCAGCGACTCACAGGTATTTGTGGTCGCGAACTTTCAGTTGCAAAGAGGAGGTCTGGCGACAAGCGCTACTTTGGAGGGGCCCTGGACACTTTTATCAGCGACGCCAGTAAACTACTCGCGAAGAGAGAGCCTAGACACGAGTCTGCGGCATAATTGAATGGTTATCTTGGGGGTAATGATTATGGTTGCCTTGCTCCAATGTGAAGCCCGTTCAAATTAAACGGCTGTGTTGGAGTAGGGAGAGGTGTGGAGGAGACTGATAGCATCCTTTATATTACTTGGCGCTTTAGCTAGTGAAACGCAGTAGGCTAGATTAAAACAAAATATCTCGTAATTATTGGACGTGTATTCTTAACATACTCCCAACGAAAGCGTCCGATTTTCGAGTGTTTGCTCCAGCAATATTTCCTATTGTTTTTTTTTTCAATAAGTATCTTCCCGCGGAAACACAACGAGAACTCAGTTAGAAATAAGTAGAAAATATTATCCACATTGGGTTGAGAATTGCATTTCCGTTACCAGAAAAGTAGTTGCGTACATTTTTTGAAACCGTGACTACCCAACGGTGTTGCTTTGTGATCTTATGGGTAAGGAAAGACCTGAAAAGGAATGCGCTGTTGATGATGACAGATCCCGACAGTGATGGACAATAGGACAACCAACGCGGAAGTTGTTATCAGAGCCCGGAGTTTGGAAGCATTGTGTAGTGTTTTTTCCTTTTGTTTTGTTTGTTTGTCTTTTTGCTTTGTTACTCGAGCCTCTGAAGTTAATGCAGCGATAATATCAAACATGGCAGAGAAAATTGTGTCTACCTGATTGAAAGACGATGTCAGATGACAAGCATGAACGAGATTAAAACTGCTTCTGTTCATCGCCTTCAATATTTACTGCCAACTCAATCATAAACCACAGATTCACATTTCGTAACTGCTATTTAAGAACATTTTTTCCTCGTTCACAAAATTTCACGGGGACCTGTCTAAGGTTGATCATTTTTTTTTTCTAAAGTTTAATCAACTTAGTAACCAAATCTCGTCTTGGACAATGTGTACAATAAAAAAACTTACGTTTCCCCCGGGCTGAGGTCTGTGTGAAGCGACTCGACGATAACCAACGGAAACTGCGGCCACACCGGCCATAACTTTAATCTGAAAACATACGTACAGTAAAAAGATATGAGAAGCAATTGTTAAGTCCTTACTTTGCCCTGAGCATACATGATAATGACGATTTCTTTTTCCGAGTATGCCTGTGATTCACTGTTTAACAACTTTCACTTAAATCATCAAGCTTTCAATTTACCATCTTCAATTACATCATCATTGTGTATAAGCATCAAAGATTGACATCGATATCCTAACAATATGCAGGAAGTTTGTCTCCATAGCCTGAGTAAACGGCCAAGCTTGTCACCAGTCTACTATAGCTCTGACGTAAGCATCATAAGTACTAATCGGTAGGTAGTAGGTTGGATTCCCATTGAAGACCGTCGGAGTTGTTTTACCGAGTATGCCTGCATCACTGAATAACATCTTCCACGTCAACATATATCATCTTTTAGTCAGCGCAACTGCTGGGATTACGCGTGCTTTTGTCACTATTTATTGGAGAAGACGATAACCCAAAGAAGTATAGCTGCAAGGGCCAAGAGGAAAATGGAGGTGGACAATTTCCTTTTTGGTCTAGGAGAGGCGTCAGCTTCACTGAATTCTCATTGTCACTTATATCCAGAACAGAAAACTTACATTTTTTTTCCACTTCGTTGAAAAAATTTATCATTTTCTTTCTTTTTCAATGACATCACACAAGCAAAAAAAAAAAACTAAAAAACAGGAACAAAGGCTCAGACAAACAAACAACTTTACAATTAGTGAAAACTACAAATAAACAAACAAAAAAAAGACCAAGCAATTATTTACCTTAGCTGCCGTCCAGCAACCTGGAGTAGAGGAACTCTTTGGCACAATAGTCTGATCTTCGTCAGTATCTTCAATGATTGCTGCCTTTAACGAGACAAACAGATCATTGAGCTGAAGGGGTAAGTTTTTAAAGAAACTGTGGTGCTGCGTCGGGGGGGGGGGTCTTTCAAGATAATTTGGTGTTATTAACCGTATTGATAATGTAAATTGGTCAATGTAAAAAAATTTTTGAGCTGACGATTCGGGTGTTGGCCCTTCGTAAGTCTTCTTACCTTAGCTTATTGAGTTGGTCGATACTTTGGTCGCTATGACAGACCGAAAAATAAACGACTGAATTAATAAATAAGAAAGAAATGTTTGTGGTACCTTGGCTTGTGCTAGCCTCGATCCAGCTTCTGTTGAGCCTTTATCGCCCCAGTCCACCTTTATGAAGTTAAAATTTTTCTCTTCAGTGGAGGTTTTTTCAGATTGAGTACACCTTATTACACCTGCTACCCAATGGCACATATCAACTGGCGATGTTCACGAAGCCCACGGTCTTATTTTTTGAGTTATAACTAACGAAGCCCGAATGATACTTAATTGAATAACACAGGGAAATTCTTATCAAGTGTCTTACTTACTTATAATATGTACGTAGTTGTCTGAAAATTGTATATTTTCTCGGCTATTGGCATATGATTCACAAAAAAAAATTCACCCTGACAGAAGCCCGACACTCACCCTGACAGAAGCCCGACACTCACCCTGACAGAAGCCCGACACTCACCCTGACAGAAGCCCGACACTCACCCTGACAGAAGCCCGACACTCACCCTGACAGAAGCCCGACACTCACCCTGACAGAAGCCCGACACTCACCCTGACAGAAGCCCGACACTCACCCTGACAGAAGCCCGACACTCACCCTGACAGCTACGATTCGTGCGGTTGTGCTGCTGTGGTTATGGTCATGCAATCACCGATGAGGTTCTTCACGCAATGACTGAGTGTCGGTACCCTTCACTTCAAGTCTTAGATTTGAGCTACAGCAGCGAGGTCACAAACTGTGCCCTTGGACGGTTTGTAGCTAGCTGTTCTTCGTTGCAATATTTGAGGGTATACCACTGTCAGAAGATTACATCCACACTAGTGAACCTCATCCCCAGCGACTCACAGGTATTTGTGGTCGCGAACTTTCAGTTGCAAAGAGGAGGTCTGGCGACAAGCGCTACTTTGGAGGGGCCCTGGACACTTTTATCAGCGACGCCAGTAAACTACTCGCGAAGAGAGAGCCTAGACACGAGTCTGCGGCATAATTGAATGGTTATCTTGGGGGTAATGATTATGGTTGCCTTGCTCCAATGTGAAGCCCGTTCAAATTAAACGGCTGTGTTGGAGTAGGGAGAGGTGTGGAGGAGACTGATAGCATCCTTTATATTACTTGGCGCTTTAGCTAGTGAAACGCAGTAGGCTAGATTAAAACAAAATATCTCGTAATTATTGGACGTGTATTCTTAACATACTCCCAACGAAAGCGTCCGATTTTCGAGTGTTTGCTCCAGCAATATTTCCTATTGTTTTTTTTTTCAATAAGTATCTTCCCGCGGAAACACAACGAGAACTCAGTTAGAAATAAGTAGAAAATATTATCCACATTGGGTTGAGAATTGCATTTCCGTTACCAGAA